AGTTTCTTTCACCTTCATGCCCCTGTTTTCTAGCAGTAAATAGGTACCTGGGAGTTAGTCAGCTGTCACGGGCTGCTTGGTAAAGGCCTAGTCGAGGACCGGGTCGCATGGACACTAAAGCCCCGAAATCATCTCAAGATAACCTCAAGAAGAAGGTATGCGCTAAACTCACCTTAGTCAAGATGTCTGCAAAAACCAATAGTTTCGGCACATACAAAGTCTTAAGTCACCCCAAACAACATGAAACCTCTGGAGACTATGAGATCTGCTTCATGCCCTCATAACGCCCCATGATGTATGACTCCCCTGTTTATAGTAGTTTCTAACAATAGCCACTAGTGTAAATGCTCCTGACCCGCCACTAATCTGGCTCAAACTGCCAAGAGCTTTCATTTCACATACACTCTACTGCTAAACATTTTAATTGGTAGCGACAAAGCAAAAAGAATAGTGAGCTATTTATTCTTTCCACTGATTTTTTTTAAATACAATTTATGTCCCATATTCTTTATTATACTTAGCTTGTTGGAGTTCAGTTTCAGCTCCTAAGTCTATCCTCCCAACCTCCTGATAAACATTGATAAATGTTTATCAGATAAACATTTAACCTGACTGATAAACTCAGTTCTAAACACCATTGATTCTATTACATCTGTAAGAATTCATGTATGGGACCCACGTTGACTTTCTTAGTTGGTTTTACATATTCACTATATTTACATATATACAGATATATATAAAGGCAGGAGCCGCGGCGACACACAAAGATACAAGTCATGCAAGTACAGTACAGGGAATTAGATCATTGGTACAACTTCGTTCCAATTGTAGGAAACAAACTTCTTCTTATGTCCTCTCAATGTTCATTTTTTGTATACAATCAGATATGTAACTGTATAACCTTGCAAAATAAAGTGTACAACATAAAAAGGGTGGTAGGAGAAGCGAACACTCATACGTATTCAGAGTTAAATCGCAAGTTTTTCTCTGAATGCTCTGTGTTCCCTTCTTTGAGGCTGTGGGTCCCTATAATTGCACCAGAGGTGGTACCCTATATATATATATATATATATATATATATATATATATATATATATATATATATATATATATATATATATGTCGTACCTAGTAGCCAGAACGCACTTCTCGGCCTACAATGCAAGGCCCGATTTGCCTAATAAGCCAAGTTTTTCTGAATTAATATATTTTCTCTAATTTTTTCTTATGAAATGATAAAGCTACCCATTTCATTATGTATGAGGTCAATTTTTTTTTTTATTGGAGTGAAAATTAACGTAGGTATATGACCGAACCTAACCAATCCTACCAAACCTAACCTAACCCATCTTTATAGGTTAGGTTAGGTTAGGTAGCAGAAAAAGTTAGGTTAGGTTAGGTTAGGTAGGTTAGGTAGTCGAAAAAACATTAATTCATGAAAACTTGACTTATTAGGCAAATCAGGCCTTGCATAGTAGGCTGAGAAGTGCATTCTGGCTACTAGGTACGACATATATATATATATATATATATATATATATATATATATATATATATATATATAAATATATATATATATATATATATATATATATATATATATATATATAAATATATATATATATATATATATATATATATATATATATATATATATATATATATATATATGCAAATTTTAATATAATAGACCTCTTGTTTACTGCAGTATGCACTGCATGATCTAGCTTGACATATCTTTTAATCATTATATCATTGCTTTATTCTGTTACCACGTTGAAGTATCTGGATTTATTTAAAATATAACGCCTATTATGTAGCATTCCAGTTAGCTTATACATCGTTTATAAATTAATATGACAGCTCTTACATACTTCATTTCTCCAGTAGTTGAGCGACAGTTTCATGCAATCAATGGGTAATTTTAAGATTATTGTGAAACAGTGTGTTTGATGTACTTAATAGAAGAGTCTTAGAGACCATATGTGAGTGTTTGGTGTATTCGGAAGATGATTCTTAGAGGACAGTGTGAACCAGAATGGGACTGAATCCAGTTCGTAACAGATCGTTCTTCTCTGTCTTCTGTGGCCGCGGTCAGACGCACAGAACAAAGTCGACTATAATTACCCCGTATTAGACTAATTCGTTACCAGATTCTATTACCCTTAGACAATAGACTGACAATCCTCTCTTTTTTGCCTTAATTAATTGTCAATCGTGAAGCTGTGAGAACCATTTTTTGTTACCTCTTGTTCTTATTTTTGGTGATCAATATTGAATAGGATTCCTTCTAAAACATCTCTCAACTTTAATATATAACCAATGAGCTATCTTACTATCCTAGAGACCACAGCAAAAATAACTGAGGCAATAGACATAACAAAATAAAAAAATAAATCTATTTTTTTTAAGACTTGAAAGTAACAAATTACCAATCAATATGGGAAGGATCAAGTCTTAATTAATCACTAACCCAACACAAAAGATCTGAGGATGCGTGCTAAATTCCTGACATTTGTAAAGGTAGATTTAACGAACTCATGTTTTAATAGGTGACGGGTGCGTCTTCTCTAATCTTATGGTTCTTAGCATTTTCAACGGGGATTAAAAGTTCTTAGAAAGTTAAATACCTCCATTGGACATACATTCTTGTATGAATATACACGATACTCTGAAGAGTATCTGATGATGGCCATTTAAAATAATTAATGTTTTATAGTCACAGATTAATTTGTTTCTTTTCAAGATATGTTTTCTCTTTGTAAACATTAGCAGAATTTGAATAAAAGAGCTTTACCTAAGCATGAATCCCATCTAGAGATTTACTGCTATATTGGAAGCAATATATAATACCATGCTGCTATATTGGAAGCAATATATAATACCATACTGCTATATTGGAAGCAGTATCTGTTGATATGTGTTATTGAATAAGACAGAAAGGAGCAGAATCATTGATCTATCCTATTTGGACAAATTCAATAAAACACACACACACACACACACACACACACACACACACACACACACACCCACACACACACACACACACACACATATCGTATAAAATTTATTTATATTCATCATTTATAAAACAAAAGCCACATTAGGAATTCCGTTTGACAAGTGTGCTGCAGAACTTACGGTGCAGCGTATGTTCAACAAATCATACAATGTGGGAAACGCAGTGAATTGCACTTTTGTTCACTTTCCACCGAGTTCGGGAGGCCAATGTCGCGCTTTGTATCAACAAAATGTCAAGGAAACGTTGACTTCTTACTTCCTTAAGCTAAATTGTTTTCTTCAGGTGTGTAATCAAGATTGATAAGAACCATTTTCCTCTCTTGGCACCAGAGTTATATTGTGGTTTCTGCATGCATGGTTGATGAGTAGTTATGTGATAAGTTGGTCAATTGTGCTCATTCACACACACACACACACGCACACACACACACACACACAAACACACACACACACATCAATAGGTGTATTTGCGGCGAGGTGGTGTCCGACAGGTACGGCCATCATGGCCTACTGGGCCAAAGCACAGGGGGATGGCATTCGAGGCACAGTGAAGTTAACGACATCAAGAAGAGCTTCACCACAGCTGGATGCCCAGCAGAAAGAGAGCCCCGCTACCTAATACCCCATAACTCCGATGCTGCTCTTATTGGTCGCCCAGATGGTATCACAGTGAACCCCTGGAAGAATAGCAAGCAGTTGGTATGGGACTACACGTGTATAACAACCCTAGCTAACACCTACATTGACTTCAGTGTTGTACAACCAGGTGGCGCTGCCACTCACAGGGAATCAGCCAAAGCCCGTAAGTACAGAGAACTGGATCACCACTACAATTTTGTCCCCATTGCTTCTGAGACACTCGGCGCCTGGGGTAAGAGTGCCACCAGTTTCTTGAAGGAACTGAGTTCTAAGCTAATTGAAACAACAAAGATACCTTATCGCTACCAGCTTCCTATTCCAGCGCCTCAGCGTGGCGATACAGAAGGAAAATGCACACCGCAATCAGGGTTCCTGGCCACCATCTGAGGAGCTGGAGGAACTCCACAACCTATGATAATCATCTTTGTACCTTATATGTAACTCATTTTTGGTAATATAACAATAAGAATTCAAATAAACCAATTGCAAATTTGTTTTAAAAAATAGAGAAAATCAGTCGGCCTATTAGGCAAATCGGGCCTGGCAGAGTAGGCCAAGAAGTGTGTATATATATATATATATATATATATATATATATATATATATATATATATATATATATATATATATATATATATATATATATATATATATATATATGATGCCATGGAGGGTAAAAGAAGCGAACGTCGCTCTCCTCTGACGGTCTGGAATTTTCACTCCGTTCACTACAGATACGAAATTCAAAACTTTTATTCGCTACTGCTTCCACTTTATGATGTTGATTATTTTAGGCCCTTGGGCGGATAATTTTAGATTTTATGGCGATCAGTTCTTAAAGTATACGAGTAATGGTTTCTCAAGTGTCGGGTGTGTAGGTCGCAGAGCGGTCTTCATGTCACGTGTCATGTTGTTGACATGCACAATAAAAACAAAATTCTGAGAAGAGAGAGAGAGAGAGAGAGAGAGAGAGAGAGAGAGAGAGAGAGAGAGAGAGAGAGAGAGAGAGAGAGAGAGAGAGAGAGAGAGAGAGAACGGGTGTGTGTATGAGAATAACTAAAACATAACGTCAGTTAAACTAAAGAAGATAGCCAATCTTAACTTAACCAATCATTTACAACATTTTTATGATTACACTTCCACATTCCTTTTCATACTTATTATTATTGACAACCCCAGGATCACGCTATTGTTTCACGATCGCCATAACTCACCATTCCTATCACTCTACCATGCCTTAATATCACCATACTCTAAAACTATCTACATCTCACTATCTCCACTTCTATTAATTATTCCATGAATGCCTCACACAATCCCTTAATATAACCTTTTAGACGTGCTACTCCATCGCTGACCCCAGCACTACAACATCCTGCACTCCCCCATTCCCGTCTTACACCTTCTACATCACCCTATTACCCCATGCTCATTCCACCTATCGCCGTTTTACACATTCCCCATCATCCCATTAAACCAAGCCCGTCACCACATTACCGCATTAAACCATCCACCTATCAATAAATCGTACAATTGCAAATCTAGGTATTATGCCATCTATCTTCACCCTATAACCGCATTACACTATCATCCACCTAGCATATCACACCTTCCCCTCTCTACCCCCATTATCTCATCCCTCCTTTCCTCCTCCTCCTCAACTCACACTAGTCACCTAATTATCACACACGTCTGTCCTCCGATTAGCGGTTCAGACAATAACAAAAGCAGGGCGTTAGACTCGTCATGTAGCTGAGGGTGGCTAGCGGACGAGCGCCCCGACAACCTTGCCAATGACGGGGAAAAATGACATAATTCCTAGGTGAGAGATTCCCCGAGTGTTAGTGGCGGGTGAGTGAGAGAGGAGACCCATGCAAATACCGACTCGGTCACATGGAGGAAAATTGGCAGAGAAGGTCAGTGTGACTAATATGGAAATGGCCACTCATCTAACTGTAACGAATATTAAAACGGGGATATTTTGGGCGGTAATGACTTGAGTAAAGAGGGTGTTTAATGTAATGGTCTTGGCAATGTGTGTTATTTCTGGCTTGTCCTTAAGGAAATTCCATATCACGGTGTATCTTCAGGTCAGGTGCTTATTTGGGATTTTTTTATTGTGTGTGTGTGTGTGTGTGTGTGTGTGTGTGTGTGTGTGTGTGTGTGTGTGTGTGTGTGTGTGTGTGTGTGTGTGTGTGTGTGTGTGTGTGTGTCTGTGTGTGTGTGTGTATTTACTATTTTCTTTACGATTTGTGCCTCTAGCATCGAGCTGTAGTTCTTGGACCCCACTCTTCTAGCCCTCGGATGTACTGAAACAATTTTTCCTTTCCTATTTACAACTAGATGGAGTCCCCGGCAGTGCCCGAGTCGACGTGATCTTTATTTACGTCTGTCACTTTGTGTATATCTGTCTCTCTCTCTCTCAGTCTCTCTCTCGCTGTATTTCTGTTTATGTCCGTTTTTCTCTGTCTTTGACTGTCGTTGTCTGTCTTAATGCCTGTCTCTGTCCTCGGCAGTGAAGACCTCTGGTCATAAGTGTATTTTTTAACGATATCGCTAATGATAGTTCAGATTGTTTAAACTAAAAATGTTACATGTTATGAACGTATGTTCGTTAAGTATTAATTATCTACCTATATTTCTAGTCAATTATTGGCGCATGTTTCTTGATAAATGTTGACATACGAAAGTTACGTGTTATTTATAAGCGTTTATGATTATGATCCTAAATAATTAAATAATATTTAAAATAAAGTGTTTATAAAGTGTGCAGAAGTCTATGCTCAACTGATATTTTTGTACATAATGTTGAAGCGTTTTCTGTTCTTATCTAGGAATATTTAGAGCAATTTAAACCGACCATAAAAACATTAGAAAAACAGGTCTGAGGTTTTAGTTCAGATGCACAAATAAGGAAAGCAATATTTGACAGCTAATTTAAAGAAAAAAATTACATTAAATTATCAGATGTCATTTAAAATAATTATTATAAACGATATTAAAATAATTTTTTATAAATGTGCATCAAAGGCACTTAATAATTAAACAATAGTAACTTTGAAAATATATAGATATTGCACGACACATTCGTGAACAGGTTGGAAAATAATATTCGTCGAAAATTATAATGGTAAAGTGTATAAAATATTATGTGTTAGTTATATATATAAACACGTATGTTTTAGTTAGATTTTAGGCTCTTTAACAAAGTTGGAAATGACGAGTACTGATTATATAAATACTATATTTATATAATATTTTATTATATAAATTTGTACTGTAGAACTGGTTATGGGTTGTTATGAAGAATCCAGCGGCGATTTATGGTAAATTATATAAAAGTTAATGTCTTTCAAATAAGATTTATTGGGTTTGTGAATATTGGTTATTTAAAAGTTACCACCATGATATATATATATATATATATATATATATATATATATATATATATATATATATATATATATATATATATATATATATATATATATATATATATATATATATATATATATATATCCAACTTAACTGCTTGATTCATAAGTCCGATTTTCAAGATGTGTAAATAGTTAATGATAAACTGTTAAAAAAAAGGAGGGAATTGCATATCATGCGATTTCATGAATTCTTCTTTGCATTGGTTGAAGACTAGTTGACATTTATGCCCATTCTATTATTTCTGCAACTTCAAGTTGTTTGAAAACAAAAACAATTAGAAGGTGGTCAGCATCGAGCCACAAAAGCTATACTATGATAAAGATAACTCATTCGTAGTAAGTTTATTAGAGCTGAATTTATGAAGTTTTGAAAGTCAAAGATTTAAAACGATTTAATTCAAATATTTATGATATTTAATGAGCATGACAATTTTGACCCAGTTTTTTTTTTAATTTTCAGTCTAACGTGACTCGAAATAATGGTTTTAAGATTAAAGTATATATATTTTTTAACCCAACGAAGCAAAATACTTTATTTTTATGAAAACAGTAAACATGTGGAACAACATACCAAATTATTAAATTCAGTATTGCACCATTCAAACATTTGTAAATAAAATTGATATGTATGTCTCAAATCTACGCTATGCATTGTTTGCATTATTATAAGCGTCCCATAAAATCCTAGTTTGAATGTAATGGTCTGTTTCGGATTAAATTCCTTAGTAATTAGGAACAGCCTATGAACCATTCGAGATCCCGATTGCAACATTCTTGTTCTAGTCAGTTCCTCTGACAGGGAAACTTTGTTTCAAATCTGTCAGGTACTCCCATATCCAATCCAGTGACTTTCCAGTTATCCCAGTTATTCGCCAACTTTTTATAAGGTACAGTGTTACATTCTATTTTACAGCTTTAGGAAAAATGCCACTCCTCTTTCTTCTCTCGTATCTAAATGACCCAGACACTGAACTGTGTTACGTTAGTCAAGTATAATTTCCTACTTCTAAAGTCATGTTGCTACTTCACTGCAATATTTTTTCATCTCCAGGTGCTCCACCTTTCTTTTCTATAATATTGTTCTACGGTACACAGCAAAAATATACATGTTAGTACAACTGGTTTATACTTTAGTGTTCCTGGTCACTCTCATTTCTTAAACAATGGAACTACATTTGCCTTTCTCCACATTGCACCAAGTTTTTCATTTTCTAGTTGTATTTTCACTTATAAATACCTACTAGAATTAAATGGTATTTAGAACTGAACTGCCTTTGCTGTATCAGGCTTCTTCATTCGTCTTTTTATTTCCTCAGTGACTATTATACCATCAAATTGAGTTGACTAGACCACACTCTAGAAGGTGAAGGGACGACGACGTTTCGGTCCGTCCTGGACCATTCTCAAGTCGACTGTGATGAGGAAGTAGAGACAGGCAACAATACCGGCAAATGTTGCTTCATGCCGTGTGTCGTCTTCCACCTCTTGAGTTCCTCAGACATATTTGTTCACATGGTCCTAAACTGCCTTTATCATTGTCATTCTAAAAGCCGTTTTCTACATCTCTCCTGATTCATTTTAATTTACACCTATTCACCTTAGCTTTTCCTCATTAATTTCCATGCGTTATTCTCTATATTTTTTTTAATGATTTCATAGTTTTGTCTTTTGCTTCACTGTACTGCATAATGAACCAAAGGTCTTACTGTACTTCTCGTCCACAGGCTTCTTGAGAGGGATCATCTCTGGGACACATGAAAATTTGATGATATTTCAACATCTTATTTGGTGTCTTTCCCCGACCGTCCAAGTGGTTAGCCACCATTCCTTTCCCCCGTCCCATCCCAAATCCTTATCCTGACCCCTTCCAAGTGCTACATTGTCGTAATGGCTTGGTGCTTTTCCCTTATAATTCTCTTCCTCCCACCAGTTCTTTTTCCCATCGTAGTTCTTGTACGTGGCTTCTTGCTCTACTGTTGAATCCCCTTCTTTAGTCTCGTGCTTTTCTCTTGCATCATTGTGGTCCGCCTTACAACTATATAATGAATAGTCACCGGGGCCCCATTGGTAATTCGTAAAATAATTTCTCAACACCCACGTCATTTTGGATGAACACTGTGTCTAGCATTACTAACAGGGTCACTCCCTGTCAATATTACCTAGGAAATATTGGTAAATTGTGTCCATTAACTTTGCTCCCCACGTTTCTTCACTCTTACTCTTCAATTTATTTACCTCTGATTGAAATCTCTTGTCACTTTAGTCGCCTTTTCCACGACTTTTAGGCAGTTCTAACTGCATTTTTCATCGTCTTCCCTCAGACTTTCGATTTTCGATAAGAGGTTACATATGGTTACTAACACTATCTTCTTCTCCATTGCTATTTATGTTATGTAGTTCTGTAGCGTGTTTGTTATAGTCATTGATGCTGCCTTTGAAACTCCAGTGAAGCCGTAGCAACAATCACTCCTCTCTTTAAGTCTTCTCTCATTTGTAATTATTTGGGATCCACTTTGGGAAGATCATATTCTTAAATATATTTGTTTGATTAATCTGTTATATATGATAATTTGTGGCAGGTGGTCCAGTATTCGTTTGCATTAGTATACATAACTCTTATATTATTCTCTTTACGAGTTTGCTTTGTCATTGCCCAAGGAATGAAAGTTCCGGTTGAACTAGGGTCAAAGGGAAGGTGGCGGAGTTTGTCTTCTAGTCACATCTGCACCACCTGGTGGGACAAGGAACGTCTGTCTGTGTTATGTCTGGAATTAATAACTGTTGTGGGGGCTCGAATTCAGCCTAAATCTCACGATTTATCAAAACTGGTCCACTAAGTTTATTTGTTCCAATGTTAGCACGTGAAGATTCCTTAAGGCGAGCGACAGCTGGGAAGGAAAGGTTTTGGAACGCATGTTCGAGTCTGCAACCACAGTTAGGTGAACAGAAATGCTTAAGAGTAATCACACAAACTTATCTATACATCCATCTATTTCTCTATCTATCCATCCATCCTATTTATCCATTTATTTGTTCAC